TATTTGGCCCAGAATGTCAATAGTGCCTGCTGTAGGTAAGGGCCACTCACCCTTTCAATAGAAGTTAATGTATTAGCAGCAAACTTTTTTTTCCTTTTCTTTTCTTTCCTTTCTTTTTTTCTTTTGAAAGATGGTGTGTTTATTCCACTCAAGAAAATCAAGAAAAGGAACAATCATTATTGGGTAAAACAAACGCAAACATGTGATTCCATTTTGGTGAAGGTTAGGGTAGAGACATGGGAAGAGGCGCAAGCTCCTTGTGGCTGGAAATGGAAATATCCATACGGTGCTGCCTGAGCCCTTTCGGGAATGTGGGGGATGGTTTGCAATAGGAAGGTTGGATTTGGAAACTTTTACTTGTCTAGCTTCTAGAATCTGTGATTTTAAGACTGGGGAGGGGAGGGAGAGAAAGAGAGGTTTACAGTTCTTTCTCTTGCTCTAATTCATAAGAGACTCCTCCTTTCTAGAGTAATCAAGACAGGGATAACCACGTGACCAGTGAGGTATGACCCCACTTAAATTCAGAACGAAGGTCAAATGGTAGAGCAGCTTCCCAGCTTCACATCATGCCCTAGGAGGATGGCGGTTACCTTCTGACCTGTGAATTACCAGTGGCAGGAAGAGGGCCCTTCTCTGTGGTGTTTCAATGGATGAGTGCTTTTTTATCCCTGAATTTCAGATCTGTTCCCATACTGGTGTTTTCATCCTGTTCTCTCTATGATTTATATCTATGTTTGCTTCAGATCGAATGTCCCTAAAAAACAGGCACTGCTCCATGGTCCTTCAGTGTCGATTACAATGATGAAGTAGGTCATGGTAATGTGGCAACACGTTTAAGAATGTCTCAATATTGGTTTGAGAAATGGTTTTGTTTTATGATATTGCAATGATTAATGAAACTGAACCAGTAAATTGTTTTTTTTAAAAAGATTTTATTTATTTATTTGTCAGAGAGAATGAGGACACAAGCAGAGGGAGCAGTGGCAGGCAGAGGACCAGGGAGAAGCAGGCTCCCCACTGAGCAGGGAGCCGGATGTGGGACTCAATCCCAGTGCCCTGGGATCATGACCTGAGCCAAAGGCAGACGCTTAACCAACTGAGCCACCGAGGTGCTCAGTAAGTTGTTTCAAAGTGATCTGGATCATTTTGCTCAAAGCTTGAATTTTTGATAAGCCATGGGTTATAAGTTCATAGGGTACAAAAGGGTACAAAAGGTATACAAGGTACATTTGGTGAAAGCTTCCTCCTCCTGTCCCCCTGCCCTTGTAGAAATGACCATCAGTATCCATTTCCTGTCATCTCTTTTGAGATAGTCCATTCATATACAAATAAATATGTCCATGTATTCCCTCCATTTTTTTTTAAATTTTTATTTACTTATGATAGTCACAGAGAGAGAGAGAGGCAGAGACACAGGCAGAGGGAGAAGCAGGCTCCATGCACCGGGAGCCCGATGTGGGATTCGATCCCAGGTCTCCAGGATCGCGCCCTAGGCCAAATGCAGGCGCCAAACCGCTGTGCCACCCAGGGATCCCTATTCCCTCCATTTTTAAGCAAATGGTAGCATATTATAAACACTGTTCTCTCAGCTTTTCACCTAACATGTCTCAAAGGTTATTCTATTATCAGTATGTTTTCTTAAAAGGTATTTATTCTTTTTTTACAGTTGTATAGTATCCATTGTGTATGTGGTGATAGCATTATGGACAATTGGGCATCCCAGGTTTTGCTATTACACATATTGCTGTGATAGTCTTACAAATAAGTGGATGCGGAATGTCAAGGTCAACAGGTGTATGGTTTGCTTTATTAGATGTCATCACACTTCTCTCTGGAGGCTAAATCAATCAACTCTCCCACCAGCAGTCCATTTTTATTTTTTTCACACTTTTGCCAATGGACTGTATTCTAATCTTCTTGGTCTTTGCCAATCTGTTAAGTGAAAAGTAGCTCCTGTAATTTTAATTTGCATCTCTCTTGTTATAAGTGAGGTTGGACAGCCACTTGTGTTTCCTTTTCTTTAAACAGTTATTTCAATTGGATTGTTTATTCTTTTTGTTAGTGATTTGCATGAGTTCTTTGAATACTAAATAAATTAGACTCTTGTCTGCAGTATGCATTGTGATAGTCCACCCCTCCCACCAATTTCTCTTTCATGTTTGTTGCCTTATGTATGGTAGTCTTTGTCATGAAGATTTTTTCTTTTCTTGATTTCTGGGTTTCCTATCTTATTATAAGGGTCTTACCACTCCCTTATTTTAAAATTTGTTCAGTAGCTCTTCTACTTTAATGGTTCCATTTTTAATATTTTTATCTTTAATCTATTTGAAATTTTGATGTAAAGAATAAGGTAAGGGTCAAGTTTACTTTTTTTCCCAGCTAGATACCTAGGTAGTATAAAACTTTATTAAATAATCCATCTCGCCCACCCCCAACCCACAGACTGATTTGAAATGGAGCTTTTATTATATCTAAATTTCCACATGTAGGAGTGCCTGGGTGGCTCAGCTGGTTAAGCACCTGCCTTCAGCTCAGGTTATGATCCCAGGGCCTGGGATCGAGCCTGTGTTGGGCTCTTTGCTCAGCGGGGAGTCTCCCTCTCTCTCTCTGCCTGCCCCTAACCCTGCTGTGTGCTCTCTCATTCTGTCAAATAAATACATAAAACCTTTAAAAAGTAAAAATTTTTAAAAATTTCCACATGTATTTGGGTCTATTTTTTGGCTTTCTATTTTGTTCTGTTGATTTGTCTGACTATTCACCTGTGTGTATCACACTATTTAAATTATTGTAGCTTTGTAACATATTTTAACATTTGGTGGGACTAATCAATCACTTGAAGGTGGCATATAATATTTAATGTGTTTTTAGAAAACTATGTATTTCCATGATTCTAGATAAATTGAATATCATCTCTACAAATGTTGGAGGACTTGGATTTGATTCAGTAGCACTGGGGAGCCAGAAGACATTAGTATAAAGGTATCCAGATTTGAGGTTACTAGATGTATTTTCCTTTGTGTGGTATGGCATTGTGTCTGTTTTTCTGGCTGACCCTGGCCCTGGTTTCATGGGGAAGAAAAGGACTCTAAGTGTAAAACACAGAGTTTGTTTTCACATAAAATCTGTGAGGTGTTGCAGACCCACAGTCAGCAGGTATGGGGGAAAAGGACTCTGTCCAATCAACTGGATCATATTGGCCCAGTGGACATCATGGGGGAGTGCCAGTGTTAAGGTCTCCTCGGGGGCTTCTGGGACTTTGAGGGCTCTGCAACTGGCATGGATGCAGTGAATTGGAACCAGAGCAGAGGAAGTGGGAAGAGAAGAGAGAGGCAACATGGGAGTCAAGAGAGATTCCTCCTGGGAATGATCTGATTACACCTTGTTCTGTTCATCAGGCCCATGACATTCCTAAGGGGCAGGAACTGTGTCTTTAAGACTTGGCACAATGCCTGACACCAATAGGTGCTTAGCAAGTATATGTTAAATGGATGAATGAGGGAGTGAACACCTGCCTGCCACAGGAATCTTCCTCATTACATGCGTCTTCCTGGAGCCTAGGAAGTTCTAGCTTCCCAGGAAGAAGCAGAACTAGGGCATGACTCTTGGGGTCCTGTTCTGAAGACTCTTGCCTGTCAACCCATCCAGGAGAGGGATGTTGAGTGAGCAAGGACTGTGAACCCTCCTCCCACCCTCTCACACATTTTTGGAGGGCTCCAAGAGTATCTGCTAGCTTTTTGTCTTGTGTTTTCCTTCATCTTTAATATCATCCAGCTGAGGGGCTCAGTCAATTGCATGTCCAGCTCTTGACCTCAGCTTAGGTCTTGATCTCACAAGTTCAAGCCCTGTTTCCGGAGACTACTTAAAAAAAAAAAAAAAGCATCTAACTGAAATGTTACTCCCATTCACTATGTCTTCCTTTTCTGCCCCAAACCCTTGAATAAAGCAAGCGGGATAGCAAAGGAGACAGGAATCAATACAATGAATCAAAACATGGGATACCTGGGGTGCTCAGTGGTTTAGCACCTGCCTCAGGGTGTGATCCTCAAGTCCTAGGATCAAGTCCCGTGTCAGGCTCTCTGCCTGCATGGAGCCTGCTTCTCCCTCTCCCTGTGTTTCTGCCTCTCTCTCTTTCTCTCTTTGTGTCTCTCATAAATAAATAAATAAAATATTTTTAAAAAATTAATCAAAACAGCCAACTCTTTCACATATGCTAGTTTCCTATATGCTAGTTTCTTCTCAAATTTTCTAGCTATTTAATTAATTTAATTTCTGCCTACTTAAGTATTAATTTAATACTTAAAACAGGTAGGTATATATTTTTACCATACCCATTGCACAGGGAGGAAACTGAGTAACTACACAGGGCTCTGGAGCTTGCAAATAGATCGGCTGGGATCTGAACCAGGAACTCCACTCTAGAGCCCATGCACTGAAACTCTTACCCTGGCATGTACACATGTTTTAGCTTCCCCGAAGTATAACAGAAAACACAGAAAAGTGCACAAACCAAGTGTATGACTCAATGAATTTTTCACAAACTGAGCATTCGTCTGTAACCAGTACCCACCTCGAAGAACAGAACGCTTATCCCCACAGGAGTTCCCAACATGCCCCCTCCCAGTCTCTACCCCTTTCCCTTTCCCACCAAGGGAAACCACCCTCCTGACCTCTCTTACCGTTCTCCTGGGAGTTTCTACCTTCTCTTTCTGTTTTAATCACACTTTTATTACAAGTGTCATTGGGTCAGCTACTAAAGTTAAAAATATCCTGTCTTGCAGGAGTAGCGCTGGGGGTGGTTAGGAGAACACATTCCCTAGAAAAGAGAAATAATTGAGAGTGGAGAGTTAGCAGGCAGTTGCTATTTTCCCCTCATCCTAATTCTCTCTGCCAGTAAGGGAATTCCAGTGCTCTTTCCACTGTCCGCTTGCCCAGGACTACATCTCCCAGCAGGCTGTGCTCTGACAGCTCTCGGATTTAAATAGGATTCTGGGCTAAGCTTCCAGCCTGGCTGTTGCTGAGCTCTCACTCACTCAGCAGCAAGAGGAGCAAGAGGAGGCAGGGGTAGCACAAAGAAGCCAGGAGTTGGAGTCAGACCAGGAGCTTGAGCCAGACTTGGAGTTCAAGTTGCTTTTGCTAAAGCAGCAGCAACTAAAGAAGTTGAAAAGATGCTGGCTATCTTGGGACTGCTTACCTCCTTCCTTTCTTTCCTGTACGTGATAGCTCCATCCATCAGGTTTGTCCTGTTTGAGTAACTCATGGAATATTTTGCAAAGCCCTGGATTGGGATATGCGTAGCTTGTAAGTAGCAGTTCTCAGCTGCTGAGAGAAGAGAAAGGGATTGAGGCTGAGGAAGGGAAGGTCAGGGCAGAAAAACAGGAAGGAGGTCGTTAGCAATACCCTGGTGAAAAAACGAGAGGGAAGCACCTGGGGCTGGGAGAGAAGGGGCTTGTTTGAATTCTGGTGCCAGTGGACAGCTGACTCCATAAAGTAGCTTGACAGCTGAGGTGGAAGTGCTTGCTCTATCACTCTATTCCCTTGGGTTTCTCTGAAGGGCCCTAGGTCCCTTCTTTATTGCCTCCGGTCAAGGTGGCCCTGCTGGGTTACCATGGGAGGTCATTGCTCAGGGACTTATTGTTAAGTTCCAGGCATTTTGTAACAGAAACAAACTCTCTTACCTTTGAGGCTACCCTCAACTAATGATTTGGGATGGGTCTTCTGCTGTGGGATTCCTGGAGATGTCAAAGAAATGTGTGTTCTGATTGAAAAATTTGAAAATTGCTGATAATAAAGAAGGTTAAATGGACATATCAGGAACAGAGTTTTGCTCTAGGTCATGGCAGAGAGACCTGGGTTTAAGTTCCAATTTTGCCACCATTAGCAAATGGATTGAACTTCTTTGACCCTCGGTCTTCCCCACAGTAAAATGGGGCTAATACTGGAGTGGTTGAGAGGATTAAAATAAGTTCTTTACAAGAAGCGCTTAGCCTAGTGTCTGGCAGTCAGATGATGCTCAGGAAATGTTAGTTCTGCCCTGTTCTCATCCTCTTTTTTGGAACTTGTCAAGTCAACTTTATATGAGAGGGTGCTCTCTGCACAGGCATCTGGACAAGGTAAGTTTCTCTCTGCACTGATGGCTAGAATGGACTCTTTAGTAGGACAGCAGAAAGCCTTTGAAGATGTTGGCTTTCTAAAATTGGAGAGGCAGCCCAAGAGCTGTATTCATAGTGCTATTAATCAATTATTCACTCTTGATGCTTATTGAAGACCTAGGGCTCAGGAATGCTGATTCCACTAATGCTCATCACCCATATGTTCTGAATGCAGGTTAGAGGAGGAAGCTGACCTCTGGGAACCTCTAGAAATGAGAGCTGGGCATCCATGTTATCTAATGAGGAAGGTCTCCATTGGCCCTGGCTCAAGAACACTTATTCAGTTCATCAAAAGAATCATTTGTAGTTTCTGGGCACATGACCTCCCAACCTGAGCTGATGAGCAGGATGCCCAGTGGGAAAACAGTGTCTCCTGAAGATTAGCTTCTTTGGGTCTCCTGAGGACAACGTAAAGAAATTTCCCTTTGAGGCCAGATGGGTTTTATGTTGATCTCAGTCTGGAATTTGGAAGGATGATACATGAGTGCTTTTGTTTCCCTTGCCTGTAGGAAGTTCTTTGCTGGTGGGGTTTGTATATCAAACGTGCAGCTTCCTGGGAAGGTAGTGGTGATCACCGGCGCCAACACGGGCATTGGCAAGGAGACAGCCAGAGAGCTGGCTCGCAGAGGCAAGTCCTTCCCCTTCTGTGTTCATAGGACAGTGCCTCTTGCCTTTCAAACTGGGGGTTCTGTCCACATTTCCTTGTCTTTCCTCCTAGGCTTGGAGGTTTTGGTTGGGAATTTAAAGAACCTGGGATTCAAGTCCAGCTCTGACACCAACTTACTCTGTACCTTTAAACAAACTTCCCACCCTTCCTTCTCTTTCCCTAGTATATGGAGGGAAATAATGATGTTCATGTACAATATTGGTCAAATCAATGATTCTAAATGGGATACCAGGTAACATTAAATACCAGTGGGTAAAAACCAGGGTTCCCAGCCTAGGGTTAAGCTGACAGCAAAGGGACTGAGCAGTTCTATTTATGAGAATCCTGAGGTGGCAATATAGCCACTCATGGTTTAGAGATGGCTGGGAGAATATTTTGTCCTCTAGTCTCAAGCTTACATCCACTTTTTTAGCCTAGGGTCTGAACATACGGCTTTCTCTTTGTTTTGGCCCCAGGAGCCCGAGTGTACATTGCCTGCCGAGACGTACTGAAGGGGGAGTCTGCAGCCAGTGAAATCCGAGCTGATACAAAGAACTCCCAGGTGCTGGTGCGGAAACTGGACCTATCTGATACCAAGTCCATCCGAGCCTTTGCTGAGGGCTTTCTGGCAGGTAACTCCCCTGCCAATAGACAGAAAAGCAGAAAGCTGGGTGTGGAAGTGGCTGCTCCACCCTGTGCCACCTGGGACCCTTACATCAGAGCCACTATTGATCCCACTGGACAGGTTCTGCCACTTGAACCAGCAGGGCAAGGATCCTTATCATGGTTTTCCTCAGCAATGGGAAAGTCGGGCTGTCTGGGCTTGCTGCTTGGCTTTAAGGTGTGGTTCTGATGTCACACTCTGCTCATTCTGAGAATCAACTTCCTGTGGTCCCAGGCACTAGATGGAGTTGTGCTGCTGCCAAAATTCTTCTGTATCTTGGAAAATGACTGGCTTCTACCAAGGACTATGAAATTCATGAAGGACAAGGACTATGTCTGTCTTGTTTTATGGCTATATGTCCAGGGCATAGCTGAGTGGGCCTGGCCCAGAGTCAGTACTAAGTATACATTTGCTGAATGAATGAATGAATGAGTGAGTGGTGTCCATGAAGATATCAGTAACTAAATTTAGAAACCCAATGACAGCGGTTATTAAATATCACTGAGATAGGTTCAACGGCAAGGAGAAAATACTCAGGCTTGCTATAGGCAGCTAGTGGGCTTCTTGCTAACTACAGAGTCTCCTTGGTTTTGCTCTATAGAGGAAAAGCAGCTCCATATTCTGATCAACAATGCAGGGGTGATGATGTGTCCATATTCTAAGACAGCTGATGGCTTTGAAACCCACCTGGGAGTCAACCACCTAGGTAAGCATTTTTTTTAAAATGCATTTATTCATTTTATTTTTTAAATTTTTTAAAGATTTTATTTATTTATTCGTTTTTTAAAAAATATTTTACTTATTTATTCATGAGAGACAGGGAGAGACAGAGGCAAAGACATAGGCGGAGGGAGAATCAGGATCCCTGCAAGAAGCCTGATGTGATACTCAATCCTGGACCTTGGGATCATGACCTGAACCAAAGGCAGACACTCAACTGCTGAGCCACCCAGGTGTCCCTCATTTATTCATTTTAGAGAGAGGGAGAGATCAGGAGTTGGGGGAGTGTCAGAGGGAAAGAAACAATCTCCAGCAGACTCTCCCCTGAGCATGAAGCCTGATGTGGGGCTTGAACTCATGACCCGAGCTGAAATTATGAGTTGGCCACTTAACTGACTGAGCCACCCAGATGCTCTGGTAAGCATTTTTGAGTGACTGAAAAGCAAGACAAACCCCAACTTGTTTTCTGTAGGGAGATGACCCTATATGAGTGCCAAGAATCTCTAGTGGTCCTTCTAGACCCCAGGATTCCAATAGACTGGACATTGGTTTTTTGCTCACTATCTTTCCACTGTCCAGCACAAAAAAGTGAGATCCCTGTACCATTAAGAAACCCCAAAACTTGGAGATACCAGGAAAAAGAATGCCTTCTTAGATGGGGCCATGGTGGTAGAAGGCTTGCCAAGCAGGGCATGGTGGATGCAGGAGACTGTTTGGCTGGAGGGGGTCATATCTATAACTGAGGGCCAAGCAGGTCAAGGGTTGGATGATGGAGGAGGCAGACCTTGAGGACCTGAGGTAATGAACAAGGCTGGGGTTTAGAATTCAAAGTAATGGCTCTAGTGAGGAGATTATGAAACATATTCTCTGGTCCTAGGCAATTTATTTTTTCTGACTATTCTATCCTTCCTTCTGTACATGAATGTACCTGGGCACCTCAGTTGTGTGAACATGGCCAAAGGGTGGTCAGAAGCCAGCAGGTAGCATTTCTCCTGACTGGGACAGGATACAGGGACAAATAAATACAGATTAAGTCCATATTGCCTTACCTGTAGTCCAGCTCTGGCCCCTGTCTTGAGGAATCCACGAGCTCAGACTGACTGATCATTTGGACTGAGTTTTCATAGCATCAAAATTTTGTTCATACCCAGAAGAGAGTGAGCTAATGCTGAAGTCCTATCATCAGCTTCTACCCCCTGAGCCTGGGCTACCACTCCACTCTTCAATCTCCCTTCCTGGCTCTCCTTGCAGGCCACTTTCTTCTCACTCACTTGCTCCTGGAGCGGCTGAAGGAGTCCACCCCTGCACGGGTGGTAAACCTGTCATCGGTGGTTCACCACATTGGCAAAATTCATTTCCATGACCTCCAGGGTGAGAAGCGCTACAGCCGAGGTTTTGCTTATTGCCACAGCAAGCTGGCCAATATGCTTTTTACTCGTGAGCTGGCCAAGAGGCTCCAAGGTAAGTCTGGAGAAAGGGCCAGGGTTGAGACCTTGCAAAAGCAAGGTCTTCTGTTTAGATTAGAGATTCATAGAAACTTCTGGAGTCAAGATGTCAAACATGCACCTTTCAGTGGTAGCTTTATACACTAAAGAGAATGAGGTTATACACAGACTAAAAAATAATTTTTGCCCTCAGGAAGCTTGAAATTGAACAGGGGTTAGGAATCTATAAAATCTATCTTACATGTATGTCACATCTTATCTCCTCTCTACTATCTCACTTGACTTTTCACAACAAATTCTTGTAACAGGCAGAGCACTTACTATTATTATCTTATGTATCCAAACTGAGGTTCGAAGAAGTGGCCAGCCCAAGGTTATATGGCAAGTGAAGGAATCAGGACTGGAATGTCGGAACTCTGCTTTAAATCCAGGGTTCTTCCTTCTGTGTGTGCCATTTGCCGAGGTTCATATGGTGAGCTAAGCAATAAAGCTGCCACTGCCTGCAGTCAATAAGCTCAGGCTGGATTTCGGCCCCTGGGTCTGAGCTCTACCACGTAGGAGCCACATATGTATATGGATACATCCTTTTAATTTCCCCTGATTTCATCCCCTCAGCTGTAAAATGAGGTGAGATTTCTCTTAATCTCTTGATTCTCTGCTCCCCTGAAGGTTTTGCTCAGCTGTTGGCTTTGATATCTGCAAATCTGCAGACCATTTGCCACTGGGAATAAGTTGGAATATGGGAACAATGGTATTTACCATCAGAATGCAGAAGGTAGAAGAATAGGGTAATTATTAGAAGAAATAATATGATAATAATAATTGAGAGTTTTGTATGTGCCATATACTGTACATGTCTAAACTCATTTAATACATTTCTATGAGGTAGGTTTGCCCCACTCTACAAATGAAGAGATAGCTATATCTCATCACAGACATATTAAGAAACTTGACCAAGCAAGTTTCCTAAATGAGCCAGGATTCAAATGCAGACAGTCTAGTTCCAGAGTCTATGCTCTTTACGCTTCATCAGAGTTCAGATTTTAGCCCTGCAGCCCGCTAGGTATGACTGGGCAATTTACTGAGCCTCTCTGTGATGAGAGCTCAGTTTCTGCTCCCATAAATGGGCACCTTATAAGCAAGCCTCTTGAGAATTAAATGAGATAATGCATGTAGAGCATGTAGCAAAGCCCTTGCATATAATAAGTACTAGAGATAGTAGGAGCACCTTGGGGTCATGTTAACCTCCATTATCTCCCCAACACCCCTCATTCTATACCCCATAAAATATACTTGCCCAGCAATTACAGTTCAAAACAAGGTCGTAGCCTTCTGACTTATAACTAGTTGCTTCCCCTAAGCTCCTTCTTTTTTTTTCACTAAGCTCCTTCTATAGAAATATCAAAGATACCACTGTTAATAGTTGATATTCCTCCTCCTTGTCCTCCTAGTACTACTACTACTACTACCTGCAGTTGTTTCTATTATTAATATGTAAGCTACAGAGTAAAGGTGACATTGAAATAGGACCTTCAATCAAGCACTCCTTGTGGAGCACAGAAGTCTGAGAAGTCTATAGATCTTTCTGGGAGAGATCAATTAATTACAATCAGATTCTACCTGGCTGGGAGAGGCACCTCCTGAAGCTGGGGTTTCGTTCTCTGAGTCCCCTTCCCATTTGTGCATTTTGCTGCAGCAGATAAGCTGTTTCTTTGGGCTTGGATATACCCCCACCCCCCAAATAACTGTGCTTTCTTTGCCCTAGGCACGGGGGTCACCACCTATGCTGTGCACCCAGGCGTCGTCAGCTCTGAGCTAGTGCGACACTCCTTCTTGCTGTGCCTGCTCTGGAGGATCTTCTCCCCCTTTGTCAAGTCGGCACGGGAGGGGGCGCAGACCAGCCTGCACTGTGCCCTGGCTGAGGGTCTGGAGCCCCTGAGTGGCAAGTACTTCAGGTAAGTGGAGGCAGTCCTAGTTTTCTCCATCACCTGTGTATATGGTGGGGCACAGGGCTCCCTGGGCTCTGCTCCCCACCCTAGTGGCCAAGCTTGTGCCTGATAATGGAATCCAGACAGATTGAGGCAACAAACCAAGTGCTATTACTTTTCCAAGGGAGCTCACATCAGAAACTGGGCAACAGTTGCTCTTATGTTTGTTTTATACCTATGTGCCACATCTTCAGGTCAGCTTTGTAGCTTTCTAAGAGCTGTTAGAAAGGACTGGCCCTCTTGGTTATGCTTTGGAAAGAACATTAACAGGCCCTCTGGCCCTTTTTCTCCTCCTTTAAGCTTTTCATTGACTTCTTTAATGAATTCTTCAATACCATTTAGCACAAAGCACTGGGGCAAGGTCACCTCTCTCCCAGTGAACTCTCTCCCAATGCTGCCAAGATTGGCACCATCTGATGGACTGAAGACAAAGACATTTCACTGTTGAATCTTGTGGCAGACTGCGCAATCCGAGTTTGGGAAAAAAAAGAAGCCCAAGATTAAATCTCTTTTCCATTCCATGACTTGATCTATCCCAATCTGCTATCCTGTCCCATTTGTTCAAGGCTTTTCATTATGCACCATTTACTTATTTATTAGAGATTTTTATTTATTTACATGACCAAGAGAGGGAGGGAGGGAGGGAGAGAGAGAATGTGTGTGTGAGAGAGAGAGTGTGCAAACCAGCTGGGGGAGGGGCAGAGGGAGAGGGAGTTCCAGATGCCGCCGCCCCGGGGCTCAATCACAAGATCCTGGGATCATGACCTGAGTCGAGTCGCTTAACCAAGTGAGCCACCCAGGCACCCCTGATGCACCATTTATTAAGTGAAGCATTGGCAATAACCTCAGTGCCCAACAATGGATGAATGGATAAATAATAATAGATAATGTTGCTTGAGCTCTTGTAAGTATTTGGTACTCTTCTAAATATTTTACATGTAATAATTCATATCATTATTACAACTCTAGGAGGTAGATAATAATATTATCCACACTTTACAGATAAGGAAACTGAGGCCTAGAATAATTAAGTACTGCTTAAGGTCAGATAGCTTGTAAGTGGTAGACCTGGAATTTAAACCCAGGCAGTCTGGTTATAGAGCTTGCTGTTCAGTGTGGTTGCCACTAGCCCTTTGTGTGGCTATTCAGCTCCTGAAACAGGGCTAGTTCAAATTGAGGTGTGCTGTAAGTATAAAATGTGCATCAGATTTAGAAGACATAGTATGAAAAAAGAAATTTAAAATATTTCACTAGTAATTTGTTATACTGATTATATGCTGAAATTATTTGGCTATATTGAATTGAATAAAATATACTGGTAAAATTAATTTCATCCATTTATTTTTCCTCTTTAAAATATACTTTAAAAATTTTATTAGAGGGGCACCTGGGTGGCTCAGTTGGTTAAGCATCTGCCTTTAGCTCACTCAAGTCATGTTCCTGGGTTCCTGGGATTGAGCCCTAGGTAGGGCTCTCTACTCAGTGGGAAGTCTGCTTCTCTCTCTCCCTCTGCCTGCTGCTCTGCCTACTTGTGCACTTGCTCTCTGTCAAATAAGTAAAACCTTTACAAAAAATTTTACTAGAAAATTTAAAATTATACATGTGGCTCACATCTGTGATTCACATCACATTTGTATTAGACAATGCTATCCTGAAGTCTAGGTATTTGACATCACTGCCATAAGTATGTAATACAATATTATATAGTCACTAAAATATTTCCAAATAATATTCAATCAGTGGGGGAAATGTCAGTGATATAATATTGTGAGAAAAAAACTGCAATACAGAACTATGTAAGTATTCGTTGTAAATACATAGAAGACAGTCTGGAAGGATACACAGCAAACCATAGTAGTAGTTACTTCCAGGGAGTTTGAGAAGGAGTGTGAAGGAGAATTTTAACCTTTTATTGCAAGTATTTCTGTATTAAAAACTTTTTTTAAAGATCACATATTTCCTGTCACTTATATAATCAAAATATACATTTTTATCTTTAAATTTTATTTATTTTTTTTAAAAATATTTTATTTATTTGAGAGAGAGAGTGTGTGTGAGCACAAGCTGGGGGAGCAGAAGGGAGAGAGAGAAGCAGACTCTCCACGGAGCAGGGAGCCCAGTATAGGGCTTGATCCCAGGACCCCGGGATCATGACCAGGCGTCCCTAAAATATACATTTTTATTTTTTTTATTTTTTTAAGATTTTATTTATTTATTCAGGAGAGACACAGATTGAGAGAGGCAGAGACAAAGGCAGAGGGAGAAGCAGGCTGCATGCAGGGAGCCTGATGTGGGACTCAATCTTGGGTCTCCAGGATCATGCCTTGGGCTGAAGATGGCACTAAACCACTAAGCCACCGGGGCTGCCCTAAAACATACATTTTTAACAAGAGAAATATATCTTCCCCCCATCCTACATACAATATGATCCCAGTTTTCTGTAAAAGGAAAATAGTCTATATTCATACACAAAGCAAACAAGTGTAAGAAAAAGTAAATAGGCTTTTCTTCCTTATCAGCACCGAATTTTGCAAGCTTTATACAGAACTTTTATAGTTAAAAAATACTATTTAAAGAAAACCACCGTGAGCACTGTATTCCCCCCATCTCCTCATCCATCTAGCTACCCCTCCCCCATCCTTTGCTCCCTCCAAAACAGAAGAAAATACTGTACTTAGGCTGGGTTCATGGGGCACAAGTGGGTCTACGGATAGAATTCAAGGGGTCTGTGAAGTTGGATGGGAAGTTAATTGCTTGTCCTTTGATGACAAATGTCGGCCATAAGCTGCAGGAGTAGTAGTGATACCTGTGACTTTGTTACCAATGAAACTAAATATTTTCATGTCACATGGCAATTGGTGCAGCTATCTCAGAGTGTCACCTCTGCTCACCACTACTTCAAAGGCCGGTGGCTATTAGACCCAGCAAGCTCTTGCGATAGAATACATACACAAAGAAGCCTCTGCATTACTCTAGCACAAATCTGTTTTTAAAGTATTTTAAAAGTGCATTCCAAGACAATGAGCTCCTTCTCATCCAATATATCTTAGACATTTAGAAATATATTCTGAGAAAGAGGCCATCAACTTTTCCAGATTGCCACCTGCCACTTCTGGATGTTCATGTTCTTTCTCTGCCCTCCAGTGACTGCAAGAGGGCCTGGGTGTCTCCAAGGGCCCGAGATAACAAAACGGCTGAGCGCTTATGGAATGTCAGCTGTGAGCTTCTAGGAATCCAGTGGGATTAGAGTTGGTGGAAGAGCCACACCTGTATCAGGCCTAGTCCATGCCTTACTGAAAGGAGACCAAGAAGACCAAGAAGGCCAATTCAGAAGGACTGTCCTCCTGGCTGGCTACTGTTGAGAATCCTGCCCTGCTCTGATTCTCTCCATTCTTCTGGAAACCTTTGCACACTCAACACTCTGGTGAGGCTGGTTCATGGTACAAGATGTTCACACCTACGGAGGATTCTTCTCTAAGTATTGCAGAGTCAGCTGCCCTCTCTGGGCAGGAGGACTGGGCAGAGCCAGAATGCTCAGTGGATGTGACAGGAGTGTCAACATGACATACTATATGTCCAGGGTCTATAGACCCAAATTCTGGCTCATCCTCTTTGGGATACTAGTCAGAACTCTGGAGGCTGAACCAACTCAGGAAAATCTTGGCTTGTCCTTGGTCAGCTTTGGTTTCTTTCTCTGAGCATCCTGGAGCCACTGCATGAAGCTGTACCTTCCCATTTTCCTTTTTCAGTTCTTTTTAAGAAGTTAAAAAAAATTTTTTAGCTTTATTGAGATTTAACTGACATAATATTGAGTAAATTTGGGCCTTCTCATTCTCAGTCACATTGATGGTTTCTTCCTGCAAACTTCCCTTTACCTAAATTTTTAGAGAAAATAAAAATGGTGCATTCATCTTATTGCCTTATTTATTTTGTCAGGGTAGCAAAGGAGAAATGGAACAAAGTGGGGAAGTCAGCCTTCTAGTTTAGTGAGTAGTATTCATGAGATGCACAGAAAGAGAGAAGCACAGGGAAACAGGTAGAGGGAGAAGCAGGCTCCATGCAGGGAGCTCGATGTGGGACTGGATCCCAGATCTCCAGGATCACACCCTGGGCTGCAGGCAGCGCTAAACCACTGCGCCACTGGGGCTGCCCCTACATAGGTTTTCAAATAGATAAAAGCATAACTTGAAGTATCATGAATCCTCATCTATCCATCACCTAGCTTCAACACAGTTAATGTTTGTCAATCTTGTTTTGTCTATTTCCTGTGACAATTTTTTCTGGGGGTGGGACAGGATACTCTCAAGCACATTCCAGACATCGTATATTCACCCATAAATAATGTCCATATCCAAATAAGAACTTTTGTTTTTTTACATAACCACAATGCTGTTGTCATGCCTGAAAACATTAATAATTTCTGACTATACGTTAATTCTTGGAGTTCAAGTTTACCTTGTCGTCTCACAAATGTCTTTTTAACTGCCAGTTTATGCAAATCAGGGACAGAGAAATGGTCCTGAAAAAAGAAGAAACTTTTCTCAATGTGCCCCAAATCTTCAGCAAATCTTGTGTCTCATTTGCCTAAATGAATACTACAGAGGAGCTATGTTAATTGGCTTAAGTCATTTGTTATCCACACCTGAGCTGGGGGCCATCCCACCCAGCCCACTCAGTGGGGAAGAATAGTAGCTAACATAGAGCACTTATATTATAATTAGCTACCCTCACATAACTCTCTGGGATAGGTACTATTTTTGTCTCCATTTTACTGATGAGGCACAGAGAAGTTAAGTAGCTTGCCAAAGTTCCTACAGCTGATAAGTGGTGGAATGGACCCAGATAGTCTCACTCCAGAATCTGCTCTCTTAATTGCTATGGTCTATTGCTTCCCGCAATGGAGGAAGCAACACACCTCTTAAGGAAAAGCCCAGGAACATGAATGGGCATGGGGTGAGGGTGGGGGGTAATAAGATTGGGGAGGCAACCAGTCTATGTTCACTAGTGGGATCTACAATCTGTGTCTCAAAGACTGTTGGGTTTGGTGAAGAGCCTGGTGAAGAATAAAGAGAAGGAAAGAGGAGATGAACAAAACAAAACAGGCAAAGACCATCCCAGGGTGAGAGACAGGGCTGGTGAGGAGCACGTGGAGCATTGATGATCCTGGATGTGTCCTGTGGGCTGGAGGAACAAGCACAAATAAAAAACCCGGGGGCGGGGGGGGGGGGGGGGAGTAGGCTGGAAGGCAAGCGTGCAGAGCTATTCTCTGCCCAGCAAGGAGAACAGATCATGGGTGTGAGAACGAGGACTCACACCTGTGTGCTTAGTGTAGGCGCTAATAAGCAGTGCACATTGAGGCAAGAGGGGTGGGCTTGGCCTCGGGATATTTATGCATATCAGAGGGGGCTGGCTATAGGGAGAAGAAACAAAGCCATGTATGGGCTGCAAGGAGTTGGCTCCAGCTGCTATATCCAGAGAACATTGGGATTGGGATTGGGGGTACCCTGGGCTCTTGGGTAAACCTGCTCCCGAGACTGGGTTCCTCCCGTCACACATTGAACTATAGTCCTTTTTATTAAATTGGAGTCTTCTCTCTATGGAATATCTTTTTCACAGAGAACACAATGTTAAAACATTCAAAAGATTGCTCCTTAAAATATATAGAATCCTTACATTATGTGTGCTTAGAATCCTTTAGGCTATTACATTTTATAAACTTTTCATGTTTGCCAGGTTACTTGTTAGTATGATTGGTTTAATGAAGGTCATCTTATTCTTGATTTGTGTCAAGTATTTGAAATCTAAAAAACTTCCTTTGTATATTTTCTAAGATACTCAGAGCCCATGAGGCCAATTGCTGGGGGTAAAGGGCTTTTAGCTTCAATTTGGAGTACAGGGATGGGAATAGCAAGGGAGCAGAATTTAGATCAAGGGCCAAGATGGAAGATGGTAGCATGAATATAAGATCCTCAGGATCTAATGCTAGGAGGAACCCAGATGAGCGGGGAGATTGACAAAAGCAATTTGCATGAGAATCTGGCATCCAAGAGGGAAGGACTTTGCTCTTCTCAATACAATGGATTTACGAAGTTTGGGGGCGAGGGCTTTTTTTTTTTTAAGACTTCTGTTTAGGGATACCTGGGTGGCTCTGCAGCTTAGCGCCTGCCTCAGCCCAGGGCATGATCCTGGAGTCCCGGGGTTGAGAGCCGCATTGGGCTCCCTGCATGGTGCCTGCTTCTTCTCTTTCTGCCTCTCTCTCTCTGTATGTGTCTCTCATGAATAAATAAATAAATAAATAAATAAATAAATAAATAAATAAATAAATAAATAAATAAATAAATAAAATTTTATTTATTTATTCATGAGAGACACAGAGAGAGGCAGAGACACAGGCAGAGAGAGAAGCAGGCTACCCCCCCCCCCCCGGGAGCTAGATGCGGGACTCGATCTCGATCCCAGGACTCCAGTATCACGACCTGAGCAGAGGGCAGTCACTCAACCACTGAGCCACCCAGGTGTCTGGAGGGCTAATCTTAAGGTCATGGTGTTTGGTGGAGAAATCCTTCCTCTTGAATTTTGGAGTGGGGGTGGGGTCATCCCCTGCATTATCACCTAACCCTAGTCTCTGGAAAACATAGAAATTGCTCCAATGCAACTTCTCTAATCATAACTTCCATACTGTAGATCTCTTCCTTCCTAAAGAATGACTACTTGAAATGTATATTATTTCCTGCCACACTTGGCAGGTGGCACAACTCAGCCAGCTCATAGTGGCACAGGGCTGGGAGTGGTTGCTCCTCACCACAATGCTATACTGTCTCTCACTTAAAGAAGCCTGTGATATGTTATTTGGCCAGGGAATGAATGAATAAATATATATATATATATATTAATACACACACACACACATATATATTCTTTTATTTATTTTTATTTTTTAATTTTTTTTTTTAATTTTTTTAAATTTATTTATGATAGTCACACACACACAGAGAGAGAGAGAGAGAGAGAGAGAGAGAGAGAGAGAGAGAGAGGCAGATACATAGGCAGAGGGAGAAGCAGGCTCCATGCACCAGGAGCCCGACGTGGGATTCGATCCCAGGTCTCCAGGATCGTGCCCTGGGCCAAAGGCAGGCGCCAAACCGCTGTGCCACCCAGGGATCCCTATATATATTCTTTTAAATTTTATTTATGTTTTTGAGAGAGAGCTCGCTCGTGCGAGAGAGCATGAGTTGGATGAGAGGCCGAAAGAGAAGCAGACACCCCATTGAGCACAGAGCTTAACACAGGGCTCCATTTCAGGACCCACAGATTATGACCTGAGCCAATACAACTGACTGAACCACTCAGGTGTCCCTGGCCAGGTAATATATTTTAAATCTGGAGTTTTCTATCCTATTTTAAATTGTTGCATGCATTTGCACCTAATGGTAGAGACACCAAATATATGAGAGCTGAGCAGCAAAGAATGCTAAAAGTGAGGAAAAAAATTAGGTGTGGGTATTGATTTATATGTTTTTGGTATTTTCATAATATACAACAACAGTTGTTCCCCTTGTTCAGATCCAGACTCTAACATTTCTTGTGTCCTTCAGGTACTTCCATGAGACAGTCTCCCTCAGCACCACTCCTGTGGAACCGCTGTATGCTTAGGCTTCATTTTGCCTCTGTAAAACTTCCTGTTCAAAACCAAAAGCATTGTCTAGTCTCCTCAGCCTGGTTGAGGAACAAGTGCCAGCCATGGCCCCTTTGTCATGTTTCTAGAAGAGAATTGTCCCAGATTAACAACCAAGCAAGGGAAAGGCCTTGGCCCAGCACAAACATCAGGAATCTGGTGACCCAGTTACCATTTGGCCTCTGCTTCTCATTAGATTCTCCTATGATCACAGAGGCCATTTACTTCCCATTACTTGTGTTATGGAGATGGCTTTCCGCCTGGCAGAGTGTCCCTCAGGATCCAGGGAACAAGATTCTGATGAGAAGGACTCAGAATTACAGTTGTCCCAGATTTCTCTGCTCCTAGCTGCTTCTCAAGCTGCCCCAGGCCCACTGCCTTCATGATTCCTGGCTTCTGTTATGCTTGGACACCCTTACCTATAGCCCAGCCCAGGTGAGGAAAAATTTTCCCTTTGACTCAACTGAGACTGGCCTAAATTTCTTAAAAATAATAATTATCTGGGGGCACGTGGGTGGATCAATTGGTTAAGCATCTGACTCTTGGTTTCAGCTCAGGTCATGATCTTGGAGTTCTGAGATTGAGCCCTGCGTTGGGCTCTGTGCTCAGTGTGGAGTCTGCTTGTCCCACTGCCTCTGTTCTTCCCCCTGCACTCTCTCTGGAATAAATAAATAAAATCTTTTTTAAAATTCTGCAAAATAAAAAATAAAACTTGTCTGAGAAACTAAAGGAAAGAGAAACCAAAGAAACATATAAAAGTCAAGAAGCAAATAGTTGCAGAGCACAGATTACTTCCGTGAAGCCCAGCTGTCACAGATGACCTTGTCTGGCCCCTACCCTTGTCCAGCACAGCTCTGTATTCAGTGTTGCCATGCCTCCAAGCCTTGGAAGACCCATCATGTGTATTTGGCCTCTGTTAGTTACAAGATAGACACACATTTTGAGCAAGCTTAAGCCAAATAACATAGAATATTTTGCTCAAAAATTCAGGGAAATGTTGGATATGAAAGTGGGAAAGGGCAGGGATGTAGCTCAGAAAAAAACTAGAGATCAGGCATCAAGCATCACCCTGCCCCTCTCCACAATATTTGCTCTTCTCTGGATGTGGACTTCACTTCAGAGTAAGCAGCAAGAAACTTGACTGTGGAAAACTGTTGAGCTTCACACCTCACAGTATCTACCATTGAAGAGGCACTGCAGAATTTCCTATTTTTAGTATTTAAAGAACCTCAGGG